AGGGAGGCTAGGTGAATGGGGAAAAACAAGAACCAAGATATGTCATGTAAAGGTACAAGATCCCAATGATGAATGTAACTGTATTTTACATCTACAATGTAACAATAAACATTCATTTTATGTTTTAAAAAATAACATTTTGCTAATGTGTAGAAATGCAATTGACTATGTACCCTGCCACCTTAGTGAATTTATTAGTTCTGACAGTTTGTGCATGTGTGCATGTATGTGGGTGTATATGTGGAATTATTAAAGTTTTCTACATATATGACTGCGTCATGTACTGACATAAATTATTTTAAGTCTTCCTAATTTGGGTGCTCTTTATTTTCTTTTGTTGAGAATTGTTCTGGCTAGGATTTTACTACCATGTAAAACCCTAGCAAGAGTGGACAACCTTGTTCTGTTTTTAATCTCATAGAAAAATTCAATATTTCACTGTTGAGTGTGATGTTAGCTGTGGGCTTTTCATATATAGCATTTAAAATATTGAGGTAAATTCCTTGTAATCTTATTTGTATACCTTGTATCATAAAAGGGAGTTAAATTTTGGCAAAAGCTTTTTTCTGGACCCATGGATATTACCATGAGATTTTCATTTTTCATTCTATTAATGTGGTGGAATCACATCAACTGATCTGCATATACTGAATTACCTTTAAGGGGCTTTTTTTTTGGTCTTTCTTTTTCACTTTTCTTTTTTGGTACTGGGAATCGAACTCAGGGCCTCGCACTTGCGGGGCAGGCGCTGCGCTGCTGAGCTACATCCCCAGCCCTACTGAATCACCTTTAAATTCTAAGGATAAATTCTATTTTGTCATCGTATTGATCCTTTTAATGTATGACTGAATTTGGCTACCTTAATTTTATTTTGAGAATTTTTGCATCTATGCTTTAATCAGGGATAATGGTTTTAGATATCCTGTACCTGTGTCTGGCTCTAGTATCAGGGTAATGTTCAAAAATTGAGTTTGGAAATATTCTTCATTTTCATATTTCTGAAGAACATAAGAAGGATTTGTATTAATTCTTCTTTAAATATTTGCTAAAATTCACCAGTGAAGTCATCTGGTTCTGGACTTTGATTTGTTGGCAGGTTCAATTTCCTTACTTGCTGTTATTTAAGTTTTCTATTTCCTTATGATTCAGTCTTGATAGACTGTTTTGAGGAATTTATTTTCTAGGTTATCATATTTGCTGGAAAATAATTGTTTTTAATAGTCACTTATGATCCCTTTTATTTTTGCAGCATCAGTTGTAAGGTCTCTTATTTCTGATTGGGTGAAGAAATACTCTGAAATAAAGTTAACCAATGAGAAGAAAGACTTATATACTGAAAACTATAAAACACTGTGGAAAGGCAATCTAAACAAGGGTAAAGACACCCCATATTCACAGATTGAAAGACTTTGTACTGTTAAAAATGGTAACATTACAAAAAATGACCTATAAATTCAATGCAATTTCTATCAAAATCCCAGTAGCAATTTTTTCCACAAATAAAAAAAACAGAACCTCTTCCTAAATTTTATATGGAATGTCTAGGGATCCAGAACAGCCAAAACAACCTTGAAAAAGATGAACAGAATTTGAAGACTTGTGTTTCCCGATTTTAAAACTTACTGTATTGGTAGGGGTTACTGTAGATTGAACTCAGGACCTTGTGCTTGCGAGGCAGGCAGCAGCACCACTGTGCTAAATCCCCAGCCCACTTAGTATATTCTAAAGGTAAATTAATCAAAGCTGTATGTTACTATTATAAAAACAGACATACACATAATGGAACAGAACAGAGATCCCAGAAATACAATTTTATGCCAAATAATCTTCAACTAGGATGCCAAGACCACTCAAGGAAAAGACACAGTTTCTTCAATAAATGATGTCAGTTAAATCAAATATCTACATGCAAAAGAATGAAGTTTGACCTTTACAGTACACCATAAACAAAATTTAACTCAAAATGGAAAAGAGACCTAACACTACAAGACACTCAAATGACAACAGGAGTAATGCTTCATAAGATGGGATACAGCAAGGTTTTCTTAGATATAACATTGGAAGCACAGAAATTCAAAGAAAAAATAGATAAAGTGGACATCAAATTTAAGAACTTTTGTGTATCAAGATACTAATAAGAGAATGAAAATATAACCCAGAGAATTGGATAAAATATTCACAAAGCATATATCTATAAAGGGCTAATATCCAGACTATCTTAAAAATACTCCTACAATGCAGTAAATAAAAAGGCTAGGGATTTGAATGATTTCTTCAAAGAAGATATACAGATGGTCAATAAACCTGTAAGTCAATATATAAGTTGCATTATATATTTTTAAAAAATTTTTCTGTGACTTAATATCTTTAATAAAAAATTTGGCTAGGAAGACAGAGTAACCTTCCTAAGGGCAGCTAATCTTAGAGATACACAAAAGGCCCAGCAGAGAACATGCTTTCATTTTTTTTCTCTTTTTATTTTTATTAGTCCATGTTTGCAGTATATAATGATTACATTTGTCATGTGGAGTTGGTACATGTACATAACACATCTTTATTCTTTTTGTAGCTCCCTCTTCTCCCTTCCACCCATTTTTGGTCCCCTTCCCTTTTGCAAAAGATTTCTCTCTTTTGTATTACCTTTTATTTTGCTCTTTATTTATACTTAGAGTTTCTCATATAAGAGAAATCATGTAACATTTAAATTTGTATATCTGATCTGTTTCACTTAACATAAGGGTCTCAAACTGCATGTCTTTGATAATACAAACTTATAAATCCAGAATTATATCTCCTTTATCTGGCTCATACAATTCAAGAAGCAATATTCTACTGCCTTAATCATACCATGACAAGGTGTCACACAGCTAGAGGCCAACCCAATATTTCAAAGTCCACTGAAATTATCAAGATAGTAAATTCTAAGCGGTTTTACTCTGTTCTATCTTGCCTTTCCTATAAAAGCCCTAAGAAAACAATTAGCCTTGCTTTCCCCTTTCTTCTGCCCTTCTGGTTCCTTAACACCCTGGTGTTTTCCCCTGTAACCCTGTGTGGTACATGGTCACCCTATCTCTGGGACCTGTGAATATAATAAACATCTTCCTTTTAACTCTTATTTTGATCTCCTCCAGCACCCACTGACTTCCCTATATCAAATTGGTATAATCTTAAAATATTAGTTACTAGAGACATATAAATCAAAACAATGAGATAACTACTTCATATGCATTAATATTACTATAAAAATGGGTGGAAAATATGTACTGACAAAAATGTACAGAAATTAGTATCCTTATATGCTGAGAGTAGAAATGTAAAATGGTACAGATACTATGTATAACACTTTGGTGGCTCTTCAAAAATCTAAATTTCAGATTACTGAATAACAAAGCAAGTTTACTCCCAGACATAGTTCCAAAGAAATTGAAAGTAGGGAATCAAATAGACACTTTACACTGTAGCATTATTCACAACAGCTAAAAGGTGTAACAATTTTAAGTGTCCAACTACCCATGTCTCCCCAAAAATAAGTCCTAGCTGGAAAATATGTCCTTTACTGTAATAAATTTTTAATCTGATCATTCATTGTATTTTTTATCATACCTCATTAATCAACTATTTGTTGAAATTTCTGTCAAATAAAAACATTATGGTGTGTCCTTATTCACTTTATTCACTGGTTCCGGCACCATGTGATCTCTGGTTCTTCCTCAAAAAGTAAAAAGTCACCATAAGAGGGAAACATTTTGAATCAATTCAGGCTATTGAGATAGTCACAACAGCACTTTAAAGGCATTCAGAAAAGAGTACTTCTCCAGGTAGGAGGGGGTGAAGGGAGGGCAGGGACAAGGGGAAAAATGAGAACCAAGACCTGATCCCAATGATGAATATAACTGTACTGTATACCTAAAATGTACCAATAAACTCAATGAGAGAAAAAAAAGAGTACTTCTCCAGAGCTGCTTCAGGTCCTAATTCCTCCCCTCCTTTTCTGGTTGCCATGAAGTGAAGCAGCCTCCTTCTGCCCATTCTTCCACCATGAGGTTTTGCCTTACCACAAGCTTACTTCAATGGAGCTGGCTAACTATGGACTGCAATGAGCTCCAATAATCCTCTCCTCTTTGAGATTGTTATTCTTAAATATTTTGTCAGAACAACAGAAAGCAGAGTAATACAATCACCAATCTATTTCATGGTGTAAAATTCCATTCGGCTTTTAACTTTCTAATTGTGTAGACTCAAATCGTAACTGATCTCTGCTCTCCATCTATTCACGATATATCTACCAATTTTCCTCAAAACCTTTATTAAGGTAACCACATGGAAAATGTGAAGACACAAAAAACTGTGCAATTCGCAGTTCACAGGGGTACATCATCTCCTTTGAAGTTTGTTGGCCTTTCCTAACCTGTGCCCTTGACTTGATACAAGGAAAGATCCAAGCTACCATTGTAAACAAGGAAGTGAATTATCCAGGTTTCAGGATTCATATGGAGAGTCTTAATTAGCCTATATGCTTGTCTCATATTTTACACATTTGTATAGAAAAAAGATTGGCACCTGGAAATCAGATAGTAAACATCAGTGCAAAGCATTAGAAAATGCTTTCTGTATATTAAGTATGTCTTCCAAACCAAACCTTCCTCAATGGCTACTACTGATGATAGCTTTTGTTTCAATGCCTCATTGTTATTCTTATCATAATATAATCACATAATGGAGAAGAGAAAGAAAAGGCCTCTAGTCGGGCGTGGTGGTGTATACCTGTAATCCCAGCACTTGGGAGGCTGAGGCAGGAGGATAGCTGTGGGTTCAAGACCAGCCTGGGCTACATAGTGAGTTCCAGGTCAGTCTCAACTACATAGTGAGACCCTGTCTCAAAAAACCAAAAAAGAAAAAGCCTCTAGAGTACTGAATTTAAGGCATTTCAGTGTAGTATAGCTATCATTAGCAGTTTTTTACCTTATATCCTGAAAAATATTATAAATTTCAATACTTACTGAATCCACAAGATTTTCTGTTTTATCTATCAATAATTCCAATCTTTCTCCTCGCTGAGCTACCAGATCTGAAAATATTAGAAAAGAAAATTATATTTTTATTACAAATATACAATTTTGCCTTTATTTTAAGGCAATGTCATTTTAATCACAGTTGGTATTCCTGACAGCTCTTATTCACTGCAGAAGTATCTATACCTGTAAAGAATAAAGGATTCTAGCTTTTGTTTGGCCACAATGCTCCATTACAAAGTGCTCCCCTTGCCAGAGGTTCAACATGATGGAGGCCTCTCAATTTGGACTGGAATTTCAAAAAGCATGAGCCAAAATAAATCTTTATTCTTCACAAGCTAAAAACATATTTTTGTAAAGCTTTTTAACTAAAGTAGGGCTGACAGTTTTATTTTTTTCTCTAAAGGACAAAATACTAAATATTTTAGGTTTTGTGCTCCATGCAGTCTCTGTTGTAGTTATTTCACTTTGTCAGACACAGGTAATGTGTAAATGAATGGGCACGGCTGGGTTCAAATAAAACTTCATGTAGAAAAACAAGCAGCAAACCAGACTTGACCAAAGAGCTGTAGTGTGCATATTCCTAAATTAAGGTATGATTTGAGAATTAAAAATTAAAAACAGAACCTCAAAATGAGTAAGAGTTAAGACACTTCCAGAATTGTGGCATAAGGAATTCCTCAGATACTCTCTCCAGCAAAAGTACCACAACTGATAGAAATTATAAAAACAAATAACAACTGCCATTCTCTGGCATTTAAATTTAAATTCCTAAGGGCATATAACAAAAGGAGAAACATCCACACTAGAAAATTAACTAACTCTTGGTAAGAACTGTAAGTCCATGGCACTGAGCCTCTCTTAGCTCAGTGAGATGAAAGCTCTACTCATAGCAAACACAGCCTGAGGGCTGCCTTTTCCCCAGGTACTAGTCAAGGTCTATGCCTTCTCCCAAGGAAGTACCAGCATTTGGTACTCCACTCTACCTTCAGTTCTGTGTTGCAGAAGCTCTGTTCAGGGAAGGAAGAGCTGATAGGTCTGGCGTTCCCTTCCTCTACCCAACCCCGACTCACAGAACAGCTGTATCTTAAGTAGCAGCCCAAGAATATTGGGTCCTAATTGTCCGTGCTTTCATTTACTCACAGAGTGGAGTTTCAATGCTGGGAGGTACAAGCCAAGGAGAATAAAGTAAGGTTTGCCTTAGCAGTTCCCCACTGATAAGGCAAAGGTGACACTTCAAAAGAAATTGTTCACAACTACTGCTAATAGCTCCAGCGCTGTGACTCAGATGTTTTTCCTAAGTGAAGAAGCAAGGACCTTTCCCTAAGAGGAAGCTTTGGTAAACTCAGGACTAAGCGAGTCGTCAAAAACAATGGAGATTATGGAAGTAAGCAAATAACATGAGACCACTAGCTTCACAAGAAAAACAAACTAAATTTGTACACCAGCTAGAAATTTAACAGAGAGAAACAGGGAAAGAAAACTAAGAAGAGCCCTTTTGGGTTCACTGCAGGCCTCTAAAACTGCCCTTATGAGAGAGCCCAAATCTAATTAGATCAGACAGGAACAGGTCATGTATGGTATATTACCAAAAGCAATAGAACAATTAGTTTGTAATTAGAGTGGACTGGCTAGTAGCTGAGTAAGAAACAGTGGCAGAGCAGCCAGACACTTAACAGGAAAATCAACAAAAGAGACACTCAAAGACCCATGATATTCCAGGATGACAGTGAGCATGCCCAAAGTTCTTCCTCCTGAGCTGTGTATTAGAGAATGCACACTTTGGAAGAAACAAACTTCAGTGAAAAACTCCACCCCAGTCATTAAACAAATAAACAAGCAAACAAACCGTGGGAGAGGGAGTACTATCCAGAATTGCTGTAGTACATTATATAAAATGTCCAATTTTCAACATAAAATTATGAGACAGGAAAGTGTGACCCATATACAGGAAGAGAAAACAACTTTGAGGCAATCTAGCTGTTGAATGTAGCAAAAGCTTCAAAGAAGCCATAATAAATATGTTCAGTGAACTAAAGGAAACCACACTTAAAGAAGTAAAGAAAGGTATAATGACAATGTCTCACCAAAGAGATCAATGAAGTATTAAAAATTATTTGTAAAAGGACCAAATGACATTTGAGCACAGTAAAAAAGTTAAAACTCAATGGAAGAAATCAACAGTAGCTTGGGGCAGGCCAAAGAATCAGTAAACTTAATGAGATAGGTAAAATGAGATTATCTACCCTGAAGAACAGAGAAGGAAACTAATGAAAACAAGAACAGAGCCTCAGAAAAATGCTGGGCACCTTAAGTGCACCAACACATGGCTAATAGGTATACCAAAAGAGGAGCTAAAGAAAGGAGAAAAAAAATTAAAGAATAACACTAGTAAAAACAACCCAAATTGAGGAAAAACATTAATTTTACATATCTAAAAAGATCAACAAATTAGAAGCTGGCGAGTCAAGGGACCTCCACAACTAGACACATCCTAGCTTAAACGGAGAAAGACAAAGAAAATATTGAAACAGCTAGAGAAAAACAACCATCACATAAAAGAGAAATCCAGTAAGATTAAAAGATGTCTTTTCTCATCAGAAACACTGGAGGTAGGAAGGCAGTGAGATGACATATTCGAAGTGATGAAAGAAAAAAAGTTTTAACCAAGAATCACATATGCAACAAAACTATCTTTCAAAATGAAGGTAAAGTAAAAAACACTTCCACATAAACAAAAACCGAGAATCCATTGGTAGCAGATTTGCCTCATAAGAAATACAAAAGAAATTTCTTCAAGCTGAAAGTAAGACACCAAGATTAGTAAAGCATAATTCTGGGTGTGTGTCTTGGTGGGTCAGTAGGTGCGACCCTGAGGACTGTATCTGGTCCCTGGCCCCTTCCTTTTCGGTTCTTCACCAGCTGTCTACTTCATCTGACTTGAGCAGCTTTCTGCCACCATGACCTTGGAGCCAGCCAACCATGGACTGAAACCTCTGAAGCTAGGAGCCAAAATAAACACGTCTTTTTAAAAATTGTGTATGTCAGCTATTTAGTAACAGTGACAAAAGGTAATTAATATAATCTATACAAAAAGATCAATTGTAGTTCTATACACCAGGAATGAACAATCCAAAAACAAAAGTACAAAATTTCCATTTACAATAATAGCATTAAAACAGTGAAAAATTTAGGAACAAAATGAAATGTTAGAAACAATACTGTTAAACAAGAAATTACTTGTTAATTAAATTACCCATTAAAAATGGTAGGGCAGGTTTTATTCAAAACCATTGCACTTAGAGGTCTGCGCTCCATTCCTAATATAACAAGAACAGTGAAATCTATAGCCAATGAACAGAATGAGTAGGTCAGTGGAAGGAAAGTTACTAAGAAGAGACATCAAGGGTAGGAGGTTTCTTTCTAAACTGGCCTAGCAGGACTTGCTAGAAATAGGCCAGATTTATATATCAAATGCAGGAAATGGGGAAGCAAGTTGGGAGACTGATATTTTCTGACTTTAAAACCTACAAGAAATATACAATAATCATGACAATGTGGCACCAGATTAGAGATAAATGGAACAGAACTGAAAGTCTAGAAATAAAGCTACAAACTCTAAGGATAACTAATTTTTCACAAGAGTGTTAAGATCATTCAATATTGAAAGAAAATACTTTTCAACATATGGTTCTGGGACAACTAACCTGGACCCCTTCCTTACCCCATACACACATATTAACTTAAAACAGATCACAGTTCTAAATTTAAGAGTTAAAACTCTTGGACAAAAACAAAGGAATAAATCTTAGTGGCCTTGGCTTAGGTAGTTTCTTTAAAATGACATCCAAAGTACAAGCAACAAAAGGAAAAAAGTAAACTGGATTTTACTAAAATTTAAAGCTTTTGGTTTTCAATGATACAATAAAGTAGTAAAAGGACAACCCACAGAATGGAAGAAAATATTTGCAAATCATGTATCTGAAGGATTTGGTATCCAGTATACATAAAGTACTCCTACAGCTCAATCATAAAAAGACAAGTAATCTATTTAAAAATGGAAAAGGAGTTTTGAATATATATTTCTCTAAAGATAAAAAATAATGACCTATATGCACATGGAAAGATGTTCAGCATTATTAATTATCAGGTAAATGCAATCAAAATAATTATACTATTTACACATATTAGATTGGCTATAATAAAAAAAAGCTTAAGTTTTGGCAGAGATGTGGACAAGTTGGCATCCTTATACTTTGCTACTGGGAATGGGCAGCCACTTTAGCAGAGTCCTCAAAATGTTTGCCCATCCTCAAAATGTTAAATACAGTAATTCTGTGACCCAGAAATTCTATTCCTAAGTATATATTCAAGAAAGCTGAGAACACATGTTTACACAGAAACTTCTACACAATTATTCATAATATCATTATTAATAATAACCAGAAAGTAGAAACCAGTTAAATATCCATTAGTTGATACATAAAGTATGTTAGTACAATGGAGTATTATCCATTTATAAATAGTAATGAAATACTGATACATGCTACAACATGAATGAAGCTCAACATCATTATGCTAAGTGAGACAATCTAAGACACAAAAGGTCACATTATCATATGATTCTATTTACACAAAATAAGAAGCCAGTTTACAGGGACAAAAAGAAGATTAAACATCACTTGGGGCTAGGGGTTTAGGGGAAATGGGGGTGACTAACATGGATATAGTACTTTTTGAGATGATGAAAATGCTCTCAAATTGTAGCAATGGTCACACAATTCTGTAAATATGGCAAAAAACACTGAATTACCTACTTCAAACGGGTGAATTTTATGATATGTAAATTACATTTTAATTAAGCTGTTCAAGCAAAAGTGAACTAATTGGAAAAGTGTGTTTATAATTTGCTGTTTCTACAATTCTAAAAACAAGTCATTTAAAACAAGTTGACTGGAGATTCAACATGGCTGAAAGGAGGAGTCACATTGGACCTACTCAAAGAAAAATCAACTAAAAACACAGGTAATTGCAAGAAATCGAGGGACACACAGCT